ATCGTACGGTGTCGAATAATTTGGTGTCGAATAAATCTGTGTCGAATCGAGCGGTGTCGAATCGTACTGTGGTCAATAGAGTATCACCCCAATTATTGTATTTATTAACTAACAATAGTGTTATATGGAATAACTTATTGTTACTTGTTTATTTCTGGTTGCATTTCTTGCTGTTCTTGTTGTTGTTCTTGCTGCTGTTTTTGCAGCTGCACCAGTTGCTGTTGCAGCTGCAACTGGCGCTCTTTATAAGTGCGCAGCCGCTGCTGCTGTTCCTGCAACATTTGTTGTTGTTGTTGTTGCTGCTGCTCGTGTTGTTGCAGCTTTTGTTGTTGCTGCTGCAGCTGTTGTTGTTGCTGCTGAATAATGCTCTGCATCATTTCTCGCGATGTGTTTTTGTGTAAAAACAAAAGAATATATTTCAGGAATCAATATATATACTTAGTAATGTATTTTGTTTCATATTTATAAAACTGATATTTAAATGTTTTTATAATTACATATGACTATTAACATTTCAAAACAAATAATAAATTATCATTTATTTCTAAACATAATAATATTAGTTTCATAACAAAAAACGCTATCATAATAAAAAATGAGTAAAGGATCAATACAAGCCAGTATGCAAAATTAGTAATAAAAAGTTTTATTGTAACGTTAAGAATCAGACGTTTCGGCCTTATTGGATCTTTTCTGTAGCGATAATAAACTCATATTAAAAACTTAAGAAAAAAAAGTACAAGATTTACCAGTATAAATGAGAAATATAACAAATCTGCAAACATAAATAAGTAGATCTTAATTTAAAAATGAGCAAGTTGACATCAGGATCAAGTTTTTAAAAAACTGGTAATTATCAGAGAAATGCTATGTAATAAGTAATTCAAGTGAAGAAGTTTGTAAAACCATGTAATCAATTAAAAAAACAAAGGCAAAAAACACTTAATCAAGAAAAATTTATATTAATATGTAATAGACCAAAATTTAAATAAAAATAAAGTACTAATATACTAATGTTCACGCTTTAAATGCCTTGCTTATAAATATAATATTCTCTTACACGATGACAAAGCTGGTCAAAACTCAAAGCAACAGAAGTATACAAAAGAAAGAGTTATTATTTAAATGTATACAACTGTAAGAAAAAGAAGTACGGTTTTAATTGCTTGTATAAGACAAAATGTTGAAATTCTTTTGGTTTTTAATATGGAGCATCTCAGAAACAGATATCTTAACATAAGATTTCTTCATGTTCAAAATTTATGCATCTTACCAATCAAAGTCATATCTGAAGTCATCAATTCTTTATTCTACAACAATATGATTAATTATTATATTTTCTTACTTATCTGATTGTTATGATTCAATTCGAGATTTTTTATTTTTGTCCTTTTTGCTGTAATCAACATAAATAACATTATATCAGCATGATAGCAGTGTGATATTCAGTGTGGTACACATTCTTGTTCTGTGGGTTAAAGAATCTTCATAAAATTTAAAATATATAGATTTAAGAATGTTTCAATATTTATTCAATATTTACATTTACTTCATTTGTTTATTTTCATAAATCTTCTTAATATGTTGAGTGTTACATACTAATACTTAGAAGAATATACTTTTGTACTTAGTATAGATATAATTTTGTTAAAAGATCAATAAATTCTTATTCTATAGAGGTGTAGAACGTTGTGTAGAATGAGACTATTATGTATCAGCAGCAAGCAAATATAGATATAAAATAAAAATTAATGAACAAAATTAGATGTATACTAGGTAAAAACAAAAAGAGTATTTATACTCTTCTTAGTATTATTATGTAAGAATTTGAACAAATAAAGTAAATTTATAAAGATGTAAAAAGATTTTCAGATAGAAGTATATATTAAGATTTATTAAGATTCTTTAGATTCACCAAACAACAATGTATATCACTCTGAACATTACTGAATATCACAGTGTAAATCACACCTATTGAAATGTTATGTATGCTGAAAAAACCAAAGAGAAAGAAATGAAAGACCAGAATCATGAATCAAATAAGAACAAGAATCAGATCAGTAGAAAAGAAATAATAATGTCCAATATTGTAATAGTCGCTGAGTAGAAAAATACATGATTTGAGAAATGACTTTGGTAAAGCGCATAAATTTTGGGCACGGAGAATTCTTATTAGGAGACATGTGTTTCCGATATACAAAATGACAAAAGAATTTTATCGACATTTTGTGAAGCAATGAAAAACTTCTTGTTATACATGTAAATTGTACACATTCTAACAGTAACTCGTTTTTTTGTATATTTTTTGGTTTTGATTTTTGACAAATTTTGTCTTAGATACAATTTTGTGTTAGGAGAAACTATGTTTAGAGGTAAGCAATTAGAAGATCAATGTATAGTGTAATTAATGCAGCTAATTTATTTTATTTCTTATTCTCTAAATTTTTTCTATTCAGTTTATTATCGCTACAGAGAAGATCCGATATACAATGAAAACCGGCTCATTAATTTTATTTTGAATTGTAATTGAACGGATTCAATTACATTTCAAAATAAAATAAAACTACTATATTTGAAAATAAAATAAAACTACATAGCTGCACTATATAAACGAGACACGTACAAGTACGATTTCTGTACATTGTAGGAGTAGTGAGTGGAAGATAGGAAACTTGTACTATACTTTTAACCCGCTTTTTTTGGCCTGTAGATATAATATTAATTTTCTATTTTAACTCGTGTTGATTATTTACTTATTTCGTCTTTATTTCATGATCTTATTCATTTATAATGTGATGTATTACTTACCGAACTTGTCTTCCATGATTGCTCGCTGTGCAAGTTGCTATAAAAATGACAAGCGGGAGGTGAGGGACGATAGCGACTCGTACTAAACAATGTGGACTCGCGTCCGTTTCGCTGCTCCCCCGTAAGCTATGCGCTACGTATGTTTACACAGTGTTCGCGTTTCGTGATTTTTGCATATGCCGCGAGTGTATTTCATTGTAGTAAAGTTCTCGGCATTTTTTTAATTGTAATACATGAAATATATTTTGTTGTACCGCTACGACGGTACTGGACCCTTTTCACAGGATCTTTCCGTTTGGATTAGGGGAGAAGTAACTCCGCCTTGCTCAACAGTTTAATAAACTTTATTTGACGATTTAGCTTCTTAATACAAGTACGACGACTCGGCGATAGCTCTCGAACTTCTGCTCTCAACTCTGTCACATCACTTTTTATATCACCGAATTGAGAGCATCACCTTGTCTTATCCTAAACAACGTTGCACGAGTTAATTGCGCAACTCGCTCATCCTTGCTTGATCAGCTCCCGGAGACGGATCTGCCGTCCTTGCTGATCAAGCAACACTCTCTTTTACAACACACTTAACTGTGTCTCAATCAAACATACGTGACTATCTTATGCTTTAACTTCCTAATTTCCACGTACGCGACCTTATACTAATTATACCTTTTTTCACAAATTTCCTAACACGACTATTACCTCACTATACTTAATTTCCCAACATTACTCCCCCGTTGAGAAAAGAAAACTTGTACGCAAGTTTTCTTAACTAGTATACCGTACAACTACTATTAAAACTAAGGTTGTCCTAGCACAGTGCGTACTCGATCTACATTTGTAGTACTAGGAAGCGTTTTGACACCAGCTTTTTTTTTTATACACTTAACCGCAACAACTAATGCAACAATGATTATTATTACAACTAACGTAACACTAACGAAAATAGTACAACTTACGTGAGGATGAACGTCTCCTCCCGACCGCGCGTTATCCATGTTTTCCACCACCTTAGTAATTCGTGTACTTAATCTTGTTAACTCTTCTTCATTTACCACGTTTTTTAATTATACGGGTGTGAAACTAGTTTTGTGTGTGAGTGCGATTTCCGGTACCGACAAGTTATACTCAGGTAAGTATACTTTCACGTCAGTACCGCGTGACCCCTCCCTTGTTTTGATGTACATCTCGCGCGTCAGCATCTTACAATTTTCAGACAAGGTCACTCGTCCCGTTCTCTTAATGGTTGCCACGTGCTCTGTGCCCCCCGCGCACTGTCTTGTGACCTCCTTCTTAGTATGTGTGGAGTACAGCCACGTCAAGAGATCCCGCAACGCGACCCACAGTGTTTAGTTTGTCGCTACATACCGCAAATCACACTCATCACCACCCTCTCGTAGACACATTTGCACCTCACACGGTGACTTATTACTCACGTAGTACACTGGCGTATTTTTCTCGCAAAAATAATGTCCACCAACGTTTTTACACTTATGTAATTCCTCCTCGGACACCTCCAGATACGTTTTTCCCTTTTTGCCTACGCCGAGTATACTATGTCCTATGTTTACAAAGGCATACACATTTCCATGATTATGTACAGGCAACGGAACGACGCTTACTAGCTCATAGACGGGATATGATACCAACGGAAGGCTTAACACTGTTACGATATCCGATCCTTTTACATACTCTGTGACCTCGCTAACCTTTTCTACAAGCGGCCAGCTTTCTTTTAAAACTTTAAAAGTAAACTGCATTCCTACCGGCAATTTTGGAACCGCCACCGTTACCTGTGCCAATATCGATTCGCTCAATGTCTCGAAGCAAATCCGACATAATTGCGTTCACAGTAACAAAATATTCCGTCAGCACTCCGCGCTGTGCATACTCGTCCACTGATCTACCCAACCTATTTGTTACATTTGACAACACTACTTTGTTACTACGCAAAACACCCTCTAAACTATTTAAATGTACAACGGTTTTGTTTAACACCCGGAGCTGGCTCTTTACGGCCCCGTTTAAAATTTCCTGGCCGGCATTTAGCGCGTCCAGTTGGTCGTTTATTAACTTTTCACTATTAGCATCCATTACACCAAATAAATACTTAGCCAAAGAACCAACTCCGTCTACCAGACCACGCTTTTTACCTACTGCACTACTACTTTCTAAAAAGTTAATGTGTGCTAACATTGCTTTTAATTGCTCCTTGTCTTTCTTCAATAACGCGGTCATGCTTTCGCAATTTACTTTTGCAACGTTATCGAGGTACTTTAGCTCTTTACAATAATACTGAGTTTTTTCAGTGAACTCATGTAACTGATTATACCTATGTCGCACAGTGCTTACATCTACGCTAATAACGACCTTCCAGTCCGACTCCACGCGGTAATATTTTCCTATTTTTTCAAAATAGATTTCCGGTTCCTGATCAAACTCTCTGATTTCGTAGCCCTTGGCTACACCAATGCCACAAACTAGCAATACCCTAAAGAAAAAAGAAACCTACTAGAAAAAGAAACAAAACATTTGCATGCAGACACATATCCGCACACTTTTACTACACGGAAGTTGTAGCTCATTTCTTCTTAAAACAGCTAACGCTTACTCAGCGTTGCACGTGAAACTGCGGACGGTGGTGTCACGATAAACTCATTGCTACGTTCAATTCAGCGTGTTACGCTGTGTCTTTACAACTAATTCTTAGTACCGCAGCCTTTTTCACAATTTTTTTTAACCTATTTTTTTTAACGTGACTTCCGCGACAACGAGCATCAGTGTCTTGTCAGTCGTCCGACCATTAACTCGATCGCGAGAAAAGAAAACATGTCGAACAAACCGTTTTTGCTCGGTCTCCGACGGTGTGCGTCGTGCCTTTCCGCGCCCCCCTGGTATATGTGCTTGGTGTCGGTTTAGCTGCGGAGCCTCCCCCGATCCTTCGTGGATGAGGACGGCAGTGACGCAACGTCCTCGGATGTTTCGACTTTACCAGCCACGCCGCGCATTCCTGAGGGTCCACCGCCGCCATTACCTGAGCCCGAGGATAACGAAGTAGTCATCCTGACGGTGCGGCCTCCACCACCGGCCTCTCCCGATGTCCCGGAAATAATCTACTTGGGATCCCCTTCACCGGCCTCCCCCGACGACTCAGACGTGATCTGTCTGGGGTCCCCGTCACCCGCTTCACTTATTACTATCACCATTGATTCAGAGTGAAGCGCTCGGTAAGTGTTTTTTTTTTTAATTGTCTACAAATGCTTTTAGCCTGTTCACGTGCACATCTGTGTGCGCCTCTTGGCTTTAATTGTATACGTCACATCAGTTACTTTCGCAACCACTTCGTACAGTCCTATCCATTTAGATTCTAACTTCTTAGATCGGCCCCTGCGTAAAGTTTCATCATACATTACCACTTTCACCGATCTTAAATGTAACTGCTTTTGCACCCTTGTCAAAATACTGCTTGGCCTTTTTCTTTTTTTCTTTGAGATTTTCTCTTGCCACGCGATTTGCGGCCCGTAATCTTTCCTTTAGTTCTTGTACATAGTTATCTAAGTTATATTGCGTCAAATGCGGCAACGCCGTCGGTAACTTTGCCTGCCTTCCATACACGAGCTCAAACGGCGTGTAAACCCCGTTGCCGTGTGAGGCGTGGTATTATACGCAAACATTGCGTATGGCACCCACTTGTCCCAATCCGTTTGGTTTTCATTTACAAAGTAGCGGATATACTACGTTAATGTTCTATGAGAACGCTCCAGCGCCCCGTTGCTTTCTAAGTGATACGTAGTCGTTTGCACTTTACTTATTTTCAGTAATTTACATACGTTCTTAAATAGCTCACTAACAAAATTTGTACCCCTATCAGTTAACACAGTTCCCGGAATGCCGTGTTCGCATATTATTTTTGTAACGAATTCTTCCGCTACGGTTGCGGCTTTTTGATTCGGTTTGAGCATCGCTTTACTAAATTTTGTAAGACTGTCCTGGAACGTAAGCAAGTATTTCTTTCCGTAACTTGATATCGGTAACGGCCCGACAATATCCAAAGCACACTTCTCGAACAACTCCCGTGGTGTATCTGTAATTACTAGAGGTGATTTTATTCTNCGCGAAAGTTTATTCTTCTGGCATGATTCACACTTTGCAACGTATGTTTCTACATCTTTTACCAAATCTGGCCAATTATAATTTTGACGGATTCTTTTTACCGTNCGCGCTACTCCCTGGTGAGCGCCTACCGGTGTGTCATACAGTATTTGTCTTCGTTCCTCCTCCGTAAGCTCACATGTCTCACTCACTTCGTTCTTTTCTGTTTCTTTCATTACCTAGTTCGCCTCGCACGCGTTCGCTTCCAGCGCAGGACTCCGGCTCAGTGCATCCGCGTTGGTGTTAGATTTCCTTTTCTTATACACTATCTCGTAATCGTATTCCTCCAACTTAAGACGCCAGCGCACGAGCCGCGATCCGGGATCTTTTACATTGAAAAGCCACACCAATGCTCTATGGTCTGTCACAATTTTGAACTTTGCTCTATATAAATACGGCCTAAAATGTTTCACGGCCCAAACGATAGCGAGCAACTCTTTCTCGATAGTGCTGTAGTTGCGCTCTGCCTTATTTAACACTCGGCTAGCGTAAATCGTAGATAGCTAGCGCTATAGGCTTGTCGCGACCTATTTCCCCTTCTGATAATACTGCACCAAGAGCGTAACCCGACGCGTCTGTCGTGACAATAAACTCTTGATTAAAATCCGGATACGCAAGTAACGGCGCGGTACTCAACTTTTCTTTCAAGGTTTCGAACGCGCATTGCTGTTACTGACTCCAGCTAAACGCGACTCCCTTGCGCAACATCTGTGTCAACGGCCTTGCAATTCTTGAAAATTGATCAATGAACTTGCGATAGTAACCTGCTAGTCTGATAACCGTCTGGATATCTTTTACTTTTTCCGGCACAGGGAACTTTGTTACGGCACTCACCTTCGTTAAATCTGGCAAAATTCCTTCTTTTGTAATCACGTGACCTAAATATGTCACCTCCTTTCGGAAGAACTCACATTTATCTGGTTGTAACTTGAGATTATACTCACGCAGTCTATCAAACACATCTCTTATTCGTCTTCTGTGTTCTTCTAGGCTGGCCCCGTGTATAACTATGTTATCTAGGTAGACAAAGCACTTTATTTCTTGCAGCCCCATCAAGACTGCATTTCTCAATCTTTGAAATGTTGCCGGTGCATTCTTCAGGCCAAAAGGCATCCTATTATACTCATAATGCCCGTACGGTGTCGAAAACGCCGTCTTTGATTTATCCTTTTCTTCCATTGATATCTGATGATACCCAGAAGCTAGATCAAGGGTCGAAAAGTACTTGGCATTTCCTAACTGATCGAGAATATCAGTTATATTCAGCAACAGAAATGAATCTCCGAACGTGACATCGTTCAGCCGTTTAAAATCTACCACGACTTTTAACTTCCTGACGCCCAACGCGTCCATTTTTTTTTGGCACGATTAAGAGTGGTGCGTTCCATTTGTTCTTACTATTTCTTATTATCTTATTTTTTAATATTTCTTTGATCTGTCGATCAACTTCCTGTTTGTGCGTTTCTGGCAAACGATACGGTTTAACACTGATTGGTGCGGTCACTTTTTATCCGCATCTTGTGTGTCACTGCGTTAGTTTTAGTCAATGATTCTCCTGCCAAATAAAATATATTGCTATACGCTTCGCAAATCTCCAACAAGACTTGGGTTTCTTCCGTATTTAGATGCTGCATGCGTAACGCCTCCTTTACTTTTTCACCTCGCGCCTTTCCTTCCGTTTCGACGCTTACGTTTAAGACTTTGCTTTCTTCTTTCCCGCCTTTACTTAATTCCCCTACTTTTACTCGTAATGTACTTATTTCCACTCTTTTTTCTGTAGTATTTACTATACTTACTGATCACAAATATTTCTCTGGCTGTACTAGACAACATCCTATGAATACTCCAGGCCGTGTTTCCTCTGCTTCTATTATGCCGACCTGATTGCTATCCGTGATTGCCTGTACGATGGTTTCGTTTTTTGGTTGCAACACTACGCTTTCATACGGACGCAGTGTCATCAAATCTTTACCTACCTTAAGCCGTCCTTCCTTGTAGTTATGTACGGCATTGTATTTCCTAATGAAATCGCTTCCAAGTATTCCTTGGTACTTAATTGGAAAGTCGTTTCTTACCACATATATTGCATGTTTTATTCTTCTGTTTCTCAATTGTATATGTGCCTTGATTTTTCCAATTACGCAAGTTTTATGCCCGGTAACTCCGGTGATCTCCAGCTTGGTTTTTTCTGCCGGTGTTTCGCCTTTCAGATATTTTTGCTTTATCAGTGAGACTGTTGCCCCTGTATCATATAACATTTCCACCTGGCCTCCTTTTGCCTCTCTTATTGGTACTACAGCTAAATCTAACCCTGCTTGTGCTGTATTTACCTCGGTCATCTGTAATTCTGCTACGGAGACAAATTTCTTCTTTCTTTTGCTTTCTTCTTCGTCACTTCCTGACGTTACGCTACTATCGCTTCGGCTTTTCTTTTCTTGTGCCGCGCGTCTTGTTTCCCTTTGCGCGGTGTAATGTTTATCGTTTTTCCTGTTATTCAGCGTCCAGCAATTTTTTCGTAGGTGTCCTGTCTTCTTACAATAATTACAATGTTTTTCTGTTGCATTTACCCGGTTGCCACTTGGCTTAGCTAAAGACACCTGTCTAGACCGACATTCTCGTCCAAAATGTCCGGTCTTGCCGCATTTATAACAATTGTAATTTTTATTGCCACCACGTACCTGATATTGCGCTCTATTTCTTGTTTTTATTCCCGTGGCCTTTTCCTCCGCGCTTGCCCCGGCTATTGCCTCCTGGAGCGTGTCATATTTGCGCGACCGCACAATTAATCTTAAATCCTCTCGCAACCCTATTTGATAGTGGTGCAACGCCTCTTTTTTAACAGTTTTCAAAATCGTACGCTTTTGATCCATAGTTCGCTCTTTTGCTTCTATCATGGACTCATAAAGCTCCATCGCGAGTTGATTTACCCGTTGACCAAAATTTAGCGCACTCTCGTCATTCTTTTGTTTTACTGAGCTGAACTCTACTTGTAATTTAGTTGTACCTCTTTTTGCTGAATACGTGGTTTCTATCTCAAATTTCAACTGCTCAAAACTGTGTATATCCCGCGTTTCAAAATCTAGGAGTGTTTGTTCCTTTACCTTAGTGCACAGGATAGCTTCCAGTAACGTTTGCTCGTCTACCGGGTTTATATTTTTTACCGCATAACTACACGCGCTTAGAAATTTCCGCAACTGCGTTTGTGATTTCCCATCGAACGTGGGAATTATTCCACGCGTTTCCTTCAGCGTTATATATCCGAGTAAATGTGCGACTTGGATGCGTACGTCTGCGGCCGTTCGTCCGTAAAAGTTACGTTTAACGTATTGTCGTGTCTTAACAACTCGTCGTTTCCCAGTGCCCGCGGATTATGTTGTCTGTCACGTAGTTCGTTCACGTTTCTTGTCACCGTGGTCATACGCGTACTTAATAAGTCAAGCGATCGCACCAACTGTTGCAACATCACTTCTGTTGGACTAAGACTCTGTTCGCTCGTTCCCGCGGCTTCGTTCCTCGCGGAATTATTCCCGACCAATGCGTTACGCATTCGGTTAAGTTCTTGGTCGACTTCCCCTCGAGCATGGTTTATTCTGCGTTCATCGGTTGTTTGTTCAACGTTGTCGCTATTCATTCCGACCTGATCTTTTGCGCGAAATACTTCACTGTCAAACGATACTAGAAAGTAATCGCGTCTGTGAGCCCGTGCGCTCGTGACTTCACCGTTTCGCAGATGTCCGGCAATGCTACCGTCCAGATCAAATGGATATTCCCGTTTGGTTCCCACGTTTGGATACTTCTGTATTGCTATCGCAAAACATTAACGTTCGCTTAAATATATTCGGTTCTTGATACAACGCAGCCGGCGCGGTTCTTGGTTCCCGTGACGATATAAATTTTCTAGTTCGGTTTACTGGCTCAGTATGAACCTCGCGCCTATCCTCGCAACTGTCGGATTGTCGTAAATGCCAGGTTTCAGACATTTGCTTGTCCGTTCGCTCTTTTACAATCTAAAACTTAACTTACAGGAATTGACGCATCTCAGCTTCAATGGCGCCTTTGGTTCTGCTGTTGGTCAACAGCAGATCAGATCGAGGCCTTGACAAAACAGGTCGCAGCACTGACAAACCAAATGGTCAAACTCATGAAGCAGGGTAGATCCCGATTAAGGAGCCGTTCCCGGAGCAGAGCCAGGAAGGACGCAGGGGAAGAGAAAGACATCTGCTACTATCACCGCAGATTCGGAGAAGAAGCCCGCAGGTGTGCACAACCTTGTGCATATAAAACAAAAAACGAAGAGGCCAGTCATTAATGGCGGTAGATGACGAGGGCCCAGGACCACGCCGCCTCCACATGGTAAACAGGAAAACGCAAACAGAATTCCTAGTCGACACCGGATCCGATGTAAGCATATACCTCCGGAGGATGACAAGAGGCATAAGCCGAGCAGGACACACCATGGAGTTATACGCGGCGAACGGGACGAAGATCAAGACATATGGAACCGTCACTCTGCAACCCAAATTCGGCTTACGCAGAACATTTCTATGGCGATTTGTCATCGTAGAAATCACGCAGCCAATAATTGGAGCAGACTTCCTGGCCCATTTCCACCTTCTACCAGACGTCAGAAAAAAGAGGATGGTAGACGGAAAAACGGGACTAAGCACGGCAGGGCAAACAAGGCATTCAAAAATAACTTCAGTAAAAACACTGGAAGGAAGCACGCGCTATCATAAAATACTAGCAGAGTTCCCGGAACTCACAAGGATAGGGGACCAAACAAGAAGAGTAAACCATGGCACGGAACACCATATCACGGTAACCGCAGGACAACCAGAGACATCAAAGTTAAGGAGACTAACGGCAGAAAAACTGAACGCTGCAAGAACGGAATTCAATCTTCTACTAAAAGAAGGCATTATTAGACCATCACGAAGCTCGTGGTCAGCACCACTCCACATGGTACCTAAGAAGAACAAGGCATGGAGACCATGTGGGGACTACAGACGACTAAATGCAAGAACGGTACCAGATAGGTATCCGATACCCCACATAGAGGATTTCACACAAGCACTACATGGGAAAAGAATATTCTCAACTATTGACCTAGTGCGAGCATATAATCAAATACCAGTAAAAACAGAAGACATTCCGAAGACAGCGATAACAACGCCGTTCGGATTATACGAGTTCGCCTTCATGCCGTTTGGATTAAGAAACGCAGCACAAACATTTCAGAGATTTATAGATGAGGTATTGCACGGTATGCAATTTTGCTACGCATACATCGATGACATACTCGTGGCATCGACAACAGAGGCAGAGCATGAGAAACACCTACGAGAAGTCTTTAGAAGATTGGACAGCTATGGAATAAAAATAAACCCGGGAAAGTGCGTCTTCGGAGAAGAAAATGTGAAGTTCTTAGGATACCTAGTCACAGGAGAAGGAACAAAGTCACTGCCAGAAAAAGTAGAAGTCAGTAAGAAATTTCCAAAGCCACAGACAACCAAACAACTACGCCAGTTCTTAGGGATGTTGAACTTTTATAGGAGGTTCATTCCCAAGGCGGCGAACGAACAAGCAGAATTAAACGACTTATTAAAAGGACCGAGAAGCAAAGGGAAGACCCCCGTAAAATGGACAAAAGAGGCAGAGCAAGCCTTCGAAAAATGCAAAGAGAGCTTATCTCGAGGAACACAGTTAGTGCATCCAAAAACTGAGGCGGAGCTGGTAGTCACAACAGATGCATCCGACATCGCGGTTGGGGCGGTTATACAACAAAACCTAGGACACGAATGGCAGCCATTGGCATTCTTCAGCAGAAAATTAACTGAAGCTCAAAAAAAGTACAGCCCGTATGACCGGGAGCTCCTAGCAATATACTTAACGGTAAAGCAATATCGACACATGTTGGAAGGCCGCCAGTTCACACTATACACGGACCATAAGCCGCTGGTATATGCATTTAAACAAGATTCACTAAAAAGCTCCCCTCGCCAAGCAAGACACTTGGAGTATATTGCACAGTTTACTACAGAGATACGGCATGTAGCAGGAAAAGAAAACGTAGTGGCAGACACACTATCGCGAGTAAACGCAATTGAGAAGGCCATCAACTTCGAGCAACTAGCAGCAGAACAAGAGACAGACAACGAACTAAAAAAGATCATAGAAAAGAGCAAGGGATTGAAGTTAGTTAAAGTACCAATCCCAGGGACAGAGATCAGCCTATGGTGTAACAAGGACACGCCGTTAACCAGGCCATATGTTCCACAAACCTTACGACGAACAGTTTTCCTGTCGCTACATAATTTGGCGCATCCAGGAACGAAAGCATCAGCAAGATTAATAACACGGAGATATGTATAGCCAGGCGCACAAAAAGACTGTATAGCATGGGCAAGAACATGCATCCAGTGCCAAAAATCCAAGGTGACCAGACACAACAAAACTCCTATAGGAAACTTCATAAACCCCACAGGACGATTCGAACACATTTACACGGACATTGTGGGGCCACTCCCGGTTTCAAAAGGATACAAGTATTGTTTTACGATAATAGACCGATTATCTAGATGGCCGGAAGCAGTTCCAATCCGAGACATCACAGCAGAAACAGTGGCCCAGCAGATATTCAATAAATGGACTACGATTCGGAACTCCATTGAAAATAACAACGGACTAGAGAAGGCAGTTCGAATCCGACCTGTTTCGACGTTTAATGCAGCTGACCGGCTCAACACACTGGAGAACAACGGCATATCACCCAGCAGCGAATGGAATGATGGAACGACGTCACCGGCAGGTGAAGGAGGCAATAAAATGCCATCAATCGACAAACTGGACAGAGACATTACCAGTTATCTTGATGGGAATCCGCGCGGCATGGAAAGAAGACATACAGAGCACGGCAGTTGAAATGGTGTTTGGAAAACCAATAAGACTGCCGGGGCAATTCTTGGAAGAACAAGCAAACACAGACCACACAGATAACTACGTTGGACGACTACGAGAAATCATGGCAAGCTTACAGCCAAGGTTACGAAGACATGGGCAGCCAACAACATTTGTGTTCAAAGAGATGGATACTACACCACAGGTATTCGTACGGCATGACGCACCAACGGGGGGGACACTACAACCTCCATACAACGAACCGTACGAAATACTCAGCCGAGGAGACAAAACATACAAAGTCAGGATAAAAGGAAAACCGGTAACCATTACAATAGACCGACTGAAACCAGCATTTATCCTGCGAGAAGAAGACACAGCAACGGCAAAGCCCACTCACGAAGAACAGAGAGATCCGAGAACACACTCACAGGCAGGAAGACTATTAAAACCAACAGTAAGATTCCAAGCATAGAGGAGGGATCTTTCTACAACGAGGGGGGTCCTGTGGCAACTACATAGTAACCACTACAAGCGCCTACAGATAGGCAACCAGCGCGGCAGCCATGAACAGGGCCTAAGCCCAGGCGCCGCAGCTCCCGCGGTAGCGGCCCAGAGCGGCGGGCGCAGTTCAACTCGCCACCGCTCCGCGGCGCACGAAGTGGATCTTCTCGCGGGAAAGAGTTTTGCGCCGAGGCCTATATAAGAGGCCCGCTTAGCAACAGCAAGCACCGACTTCTCTCTCGGCATTGAAAGGAGTACACGACGGAATAGCTAGTAGCATCCGGAGTTCTCCACTGTGCAAGATAAAGAGAAGTATCTTGAAGGGCTTCAACGTAAGGCCAGTGCCACCCCGTTCACCAGGGGTACATTCAGAGCACCAAGAAGCCAACGTCAGAGAGCGACACGTCCATTGGGAGTTGTTGCCGTGGAAACTCCATCCGCTGGACCTTCCGCACCGCAAGCTCACCAGGCCGCCGAGGATATTCCTGACTCCAGGAGACGTCAGGATCTG